AGAAACGCGATCTGAACTTTGAAGCCGTAGGTGCGTTGTAAGAGTGATGGCCAAGTCCCACTATTCGGTCACGCAAAAGTAGCTCAAGCGTTAGCGGTGGGTACTACTGCCTAGTTGTCTTTTTTCTAATCTATCAGCTCAAAATTAGTGACGACTATGCACAGAGACATCTCTTTTGTAGCTTTTGTTTGAAAATTCTAAAATCTAACTTCGTCTAATCTTTATCTATATCTGCTAATTCGCCTGAAACTCAACACTAGATGATAAGATAAAACAGCTATCATATACTTTTCTGAATATATTTACGGTAGTTACAATTCTGACATATAATAACGTTTCTTGTGATAGATACTTTACAATAAACTGATATGGGTTATTAATTAAGTGAAGAGTGTTTGCGTGTATAGTTACAGTTTAATTGTTGTCTAACCATGGAAACTGGACCACCGCTATCAAACGTGACGTATGTGCAGTACAACATCTGTTCTGTTCAATACCCTACTGATTATTTTTTTATCAAAACAGCCTATGCATAGCTCTTCTGAGGAAATCATTTATGTCAGATTAAGATATCTAAACTCTGTATGTAATTAAAGTAAGGCTTGGAAAGATTATGTTGTTTTTATTTTTGATAAACTCAATACAAGTAACTGTATATGTACATAATCCAAACGTCTTGTTTTCCGAATGAGATTATATACAAAGGTCTGTAATATACGAAGAAGTATTTGACTTTTGTTTATGGTGTGTCAAAGGAGCTGAAGCAGTCAGTTGGTGAGTAGTGTATCAAAAACGTTTTTTTTTTCTTTTTTCCATGAAACTAAACATATTTAAGATTGCGCAGTTTGTTTTAAAATACGATAAATTTCGTTAATAACCAACATTAAGGTGGAGTTTCATCATGGTTACCATTTTCTTGACACGTTTTCAACCGGTACCTTAAGGTTTAAAACGCTGTCCGTTAAGTCTTAAAAGTGGCTATAAGTGTGTTATCTACTTGAATATAGTTTCATGAAAATAAGAGGAACTCTTTCTTAGAAAAGGAAAGAAAGATTTAGTCACGAAGTAGTATAAATTGATTATAAGAATCATTTACACAAAGCTGAGAAACGCGGCGTTCTTTTTATTTTGAAAATGCTGTCTTATGATATGCTCATCGTAGATGAAGTAACAATTTAATTTTGGAACGATTTTTGAACAACTAAGCTCATCATGATTTTAGACAGAAAAGAATATAATGATATTCGAACATGAGAGTCTACTGTATAATTTGTTTTCAGGAGTAATTTGGCAGTTTTAATAAATATTGAATTGCATTTAATTTTTTATTTATTTTGTAATTACTACAAGTAACATTGTATGAATGATCAGTATCTCGACAAATGAGGAAAAACACTGGAAAGTTGTGATCTAAAGAAATTAGTTAAATACAGAGTGAAGAGTAGTTAAATAAGAAAACGAAGAGTAACTTTTCTTTCTATCTAGTTATGTGAAAAAGGTAAGTATATTCTAGCATATCACTGGGAGAACAAAACTATTAAATTCCATGTAAGAAAGAAGGTAAGAAACTAACTCTCATGTTAACTTTTATATCATACATCAAGAATAACTAATGTAGCATATCATTATAATTTGAGAAACAAAACTGATGAAACTGACTTTGATGCATGTTACTAATTGGGAAACGTAATTCTGGTTTACGTAATAGTCTAAACTTTTTATTACACATTACTACGTGAGGATCAAAACTGATACGACACACTGCTACGTAAAATCCACATGTAAGATATCATGTTACTTTGTTGGATTCATTGCTGATAAAACACACTACTATACCATAACTTGCTATCTCATTACTATATGAGATTCATAACTCTAATAGAGCAGATTGATAAATAAAGTTCAAACTGTGATATAATACGTTAACGTATGAACATCATAATGGATACATATATATTCATAATTAAAATAGGACATTTCTATATGATCATCATAGCTCTGATATAGCACGTTATTATAAGATCATCATAGCTCTGATATAACACGTTACTATATGATCATCATAGCTCTGATATAACACGTTATTATAAGATTATCATATCTCTAATATAGCAAGTTACTATATGATCATCATAGCTCTGATATAGCACTTTACTATGGGATCATCATAACTTTGATATAGCACGTTACTATGGAATCATCTTAACGCTGACATAGCACGTTACTATGAGATCATCATAACTCTGATATAGCACTTTGCTATACGATATTATAATTATGATATAACACATTACTGTGTAATCATAATCATTCTAATAAAGTACATTACAATGCGATTATCATAACTGGAATAGCACGTTATTGTGTGAACATCATAACTATGCTATAGCTTTAAACCTCCTGCTATCACGATATGACACAGACGTATATATATATGGCAACATAATTTATGTATATCTTTCTTGTTTATTTTAATTATTATGCATGAAAAAAAACCTAATGATTTATTTTATAACTAATTGTTAAAAGAGGATGAATCAAAATTCTCCCATGATAATAATAATTACCTAATGCAAAAACTTTGAGTACATAGAATGTCTGCAATTAAAAAAGATTACTAATAGAGATATACCTACTTTATTGATAAAAGATATCATAAAATAAGTTAGATTGTTTTTGCGTGCAAAAGAAAATTAATTATTATAACGAACATTTAAATTTGGATGGCTACATAATATTTTAAAGGCAAACTAACAAGCTCCCTCCTACATAACTTAATAATACAAACATAACTACAAGAATCTGAATGATTGCCTATAAAAGCGTAGAATGTGGATCAAAATCAAGCAGCATTGAACAATATTGTTCGTAGTATTTAACGTTTGAGCATTTTAATGTTTAATTACTATTTATTGAAAATTCTATGTACACTGTGTTTGTCTTCTCCCTGTTTATTTTCTTTAGCGCTGTCGAGTAGTAATGATAATCTTCTAAGTTTCATTTAATATACACCATTTGAATTATTCTTAAAATATACTTGGTCATTTTTATGCTTTGAAATTTTTGATTAATCTTCGATTTCCAAATTAGCACTAATTTTTTTCAATATATTGTATGATAGATTTAATATGTTATTATATTGGAAAATATTAAAGAATTCATTTTGAATTGCATACGTATATTTTACACTTAAGTTATCTTATTTATCGTAAGTGTGAAAGGATAGTACATGTAGATATAATTATCCCAATCACCAGGATGATATCTTTAACATTCTCTTTTAATCATACAGACACTTGGATGAGGTTTGGATATTTTGCTTGACTACCAAATAAACTTGCAAAAGTTGATTTTATTACATGAACTACTAAAGAAAAGCCAGTCAACAATAAGTCTAATATGCCTGATCAGTCTGTTTTCCAGACTCATGTATCAGGCTTAACTTTATTTTCTTTTAGTTTTCTGCTCAGTTCGAATTACACAAAATATATGTATATATATATATATATTCAGCACATGTCTAAACATGTTATCATTGTGAATGGCATTGATAATATCCACAAAACGAATTACATTAATTGACAGAAGTACGATTAATAAAAGAATGATATGTTTGATCCAACATGCGAAATAAAGTAACTAATTATTAGATGCTTAAAGAGTAATGTCATTGTTAATGATATTATTTGGGGAAAATGTAGACCTTCAAGCTCAAACATTGCCTAATATATGGTTTACCTTAAGCCTATAAATAAGTTACTCCATTTATATCTTTTGTCTCGAATGTAGGAAATTTCACTTACAAGTTGTTTTTTTAAAAGTTTCTCACTTTCTTTACTCTATACTACATACATGTGAATGAAAATGACAAACTTAGCCACGGACGTAAATACTATTAGCGATCTTCCAGAATATTCTTTAAAAACTTGTAGAGTTCTCAATAAAAGAAGTCTCGCATTCAGTTTTATGGGGACGTCTTCAGTTCAATTATCTTGCTTTTCTAACTATTGGAAGTTCTCTGTAAAATGTATTTATGATACATCACGAAATAACATGTTTCAATGATTGTCAAACTGAATTCAAACCTTTTATGGACGTTATATTGACGACATGTTTTACTTTTCAAAATTTGTTTTCCGTTTCACTACTTTATGGGCTATCTAAGTACAAAAAAAAATCCAAACATTAAGCTTACATGTGAACTTGAAAACTAAGTACTTTTCATTTCCTGAAAATACTAATTTCAAGATCTGGTTTTATTACTGATCGCTATCATAAGCCCACATTTAATGGTAAATACTCAATTTTTCGGAATTTTGCCTCTGAATTATTTTTGAAAGTTATCTAAATTACTAGAACTTATAAAATTGACAGTTCGTCATTTTTCTTTTACCTCAAAAGTAACTAATATAAAAACAATTTTACAGATAAACAAATATCTTATAAGACCGTGTCAGAACTTATGAACAAGAAAGAACAAGTCAACATAACAGAGGAAGTAAACATGTATTCAAATGTTTGCATTATACTGGTGAATTGTCGAATCAATTTCGCATCAACGTAAAAACTCTACTTGGTTTTTCTTTCCCACAAGATGCACTTCGCAGAAACTTCAAGTTAAAAAAAATCTGTATAAGATTGAATATAGGATAGAAAAAAATGCAGTGCTCACTGGTCGTCTGTAATTACAGATTTCTGGTATCAACTAACTTAGCATATACGCCCACATGCGCGCGTTTTGTAACGGTTCTGTTACCTCTAGCGACCTTCGAATTATCCTTCAGTTTGTAGTGAGCAGTAGCTAAAGGTAAAAAAAAAAAAAGTTATTTTCATCAATAATCCAAAACCTTCCCTCAACAAGACAGAAAATGTAACATAACTTTATCTCAAGCTATAGGGCTTTGCTCTAAAACTTTCTTGAGCACAGAGCGAAATATTGTTTTATCATATATTGTCAAATTATTTCTTTAACATACAAGCTGGCTGTAATTTATTTGCAGATGCCCCGCTACAAGAGAACAGAGTTTGAAGAAGATGAAACAAGTAGTACTAACAGTGTGCCAGCAGATGCACCCATGGCGGGAGGTGTGGGGTTTCGGGGTAGTGGGGGAGGCATTGTAGATGGATTACCTAATGTACGTTACCCTCATCGTAAACGAAATTTTTGGCAAAGATCTTCCCCTTTGGAAAAATCACTGATGGTGTTATCGCTTCTTTTATTATTAGTAGTAATAATTTTGTCCGCCATCTTGGACGCCCGTTCTCAGCCACCGTCACTAAAAGTTGTTCACGTCACCTCTGGAAATCAAAACTTCACATCCAAAAATGGTAAGTTTATTTTACTAAAAAAAAATAAAACTAATCAAGTTAACTTATATATGTTTATGTATCTATGTTTACGTATATTTTTATTAGAAACATATCACACTTTTTTATTCATTTTAACGTCAGAAGAAAAGGGAGCTTAAAACAGCAAACTTTGCTATTCTTAAAAGTGATAAAGCTAGGTAATTATAATTTTATTTCGTCTTTGGTAAACATATATACATATCAAAATCAACAACTGCGCCATGCTTAAGAGAAGTATAGAAAATTGATTGTGTTTTGTTTGTAGCTAAGCACAAAGCTACACAATGGGCTATCTGTGCTCTATCCACCACGCAACTAGATTTCTAGCGTTGTAAGTCCGTTGACATACCGCTGTGCCACTTGGATGGCGTATAGAAAAAGGAAATTAAAGTGTTAAATAACATTCACTATATTTCCTCAAAGAATTTCTGGTAGTAATAATTGTTTTCAAGCTCTGGACAATTTTCTCCTGATAAGCATGCTTTTTTAGGTAACATTCAATAACTTAGTGCATAAGTAATGTGGCCACCTGTGTATATTATAATATTTATTCTTTTCGTAATGTAATTATTCAACAATACCAGGAGAACAACCAAGTTCTGTTTAATTAACAGGATAACTAATAACAGGAGTCAACAATGAGAAATGTAACGACAATGAAGTATTATTAGAGTGTTGGACTAAAACGTTTATTATATTGCTACCTGTTTGCTCCTGTAAGAAATGTATAATGTATCAGTTCTTGTTTCAAACAAAAATTAATTATATAGATCATAGCAAGTTACAATAAGAAAATTCAGTACTTTAACAACTAAACCACGGAAATTTTATTCGTTTGTTTGTTTTGAATTTTGTTCAAAGCTACACGAGGGTTATCTGCGCTAACCGTCCATAATTTAGCAGTGAAAGGCAGCTAGTCATCACCACCCACCGCCAACTCTTGGGCTACTCTTTTGTCAACGAATAGTGGGATTCACCGTCAAATTATAACACCCCTCACGGCTGAAAGGGCGAGCGTGTTTGGTAAATCAGTTGAGCCAGTTTTTTTTTTTTTTTCAGGATCAGCTCTACGCAGGCTCTTCTGGGGATGCTCATTCAACTGGTTAGCCCCCAGTTGCACAGCGGTATGTCTGTGGACTTACAACGCTAGAATCCGGGTTTCGAGCACAGATAACCCATTGTGTAGCTTTGTGCTTAATTACAAACAAACAAACAAACTTTCCACTCCAAATATATTTTCCGTGGCACAGCGGTATGTCTGCGGACTTACAACGCTAGAAACCGGGTTTCGATACCCGTGATGGGCAGAGCACAGATAGCCCTTTGTGTAGCTTTATGCTTAATTACAAACAAATCGACCTATTAAAAATTTTCCTGAAGGTTCAAATATTAAAAATATTGTTTACAAGAAAGTTTGTAAACAAGTTTTCCACCATGAATTCGATTGCCCTTACTTTTAAACAGTGGCTTGAAATACCATAACTCTATACATTTTGTTGAATTTCGACATGTTCTACTAACCGAATAATAAATTTGTGAAAACGAATATCTGTTCGTCCATTGTGTATAAATATACAGAAGAAGAAGAGAATACAAAATACGCAAAAAAAATTATATGTATAGGTGTACTAAGGCCTACTAAGATCGACTCTTATGGATGCATGTTAATTTCTATGTAAATGTTTTGTAAAAATTATACTATAACTTTTTCTACTGGAAAATGTTTAAATCATAATTTTCACGTAATAGTGTAACATCAAAGTGGTTTTTGAAAAGTCAATTTTCATAGTATTGTTTACGTCGTTTTATGCTAATAAAAATGTTACATTTTTATATAATAAAAACTAAACAATATATACTTTATTATTGGTCTTTTATCCTTTTTTTTATCTTGTTCGCCATGTGCTCTACAAATTTAAAAGACAACAATGAGGAAAAAACATTGATACTGCCACCATGCAATTTAACAATACTCTTGTCTTCAAGATAAAATATGTTCTTTACCTTTCTATCAGTTAGTTGAAACATGACAAAAGGTTTGTTCTATCTTTTGTATCAACCGGTTTTGTTTTATTTGCACTAGGAAACCCACCGTACTGTGTCACTCCGGCATGTGTAACTGTTGCAAGTGCTATCATTAATGCTATGGATTACACCATCGATCCATGTGACGACTTCTATCAGTATGCCTGCGGAGGATGGATCAGATCCAATCCAATACCAGAAGGTAAATCCATCTGGGGAACATTCGGAAAATTATGGCAAGAAAACCAGTTGGTAATGAAGAACGTTTTGGGTAAATATTATAATGTACTATTATAACTAAACAAAAAAAACCTTGTAACAAATAACAATAAAGAACTAAGAATTTACAGTGTATCTTTGTAATTGTTTTGTAGTAGTTTATTATAAAACGGAAATAGTAAAAAACATTATCCAAACACAATTAACGGCTTGAAAAGATTCTTACAATAGTTTGATTTGAACTTATGGCTAAATATTATAAAATATTCAAAATTGTTCCCATGTATTGTTATTATCAAATGTTAGTAAGGCATATAATCCCGATTTTTTAGTTACTTGGCTTTCAATTTCAAGAAAAAAGTAATAATGATGCTAATTTTATTATAATAGGAATATAAGCTTTTATCAATATAGGATCTCTTATAGTTAGTAAGTTAATATCCTCCAGTAAAGTCAGCGGTAAGCTTGCAGAATTGCAACGGTAAAATCAGGGGTTCGATCCCACTTGGTGGGCAGAACGAAGATAGCCTGTTGTGTAGCTTTGCGCTAAAACAAACAAACAAGTGAATTAATAAGAAGTAGGCGTGAACTTTTAAACTGAGTGTAGGTGATTTCCTTTAATATGTTCCAATTTTCACAATCCTTCTGGTAGCAATATAGAAAACTGTAAAACATTCTGGATTTACAAAAGGATTTTCAATATGTCACAATAATTTAAAGATACTCCAACCTTGGATACAGGCAGTTTTCTGTCTTGTATTCCCTTTCAATCTGTCATACATTGAATGTTACAAAACTGCTAAAAAGTATTTTGAAAGTTGCTTGGGGTTTTTTTTTTGTGTGTTTTTTTTTTTTTAGAGGACGAAACTATAGAACTTCAAAGCAAAGCCGAGAGAAAAGCTCGAATCTATTATTATTCATGTCTTGATAAAAATGAAACAGTGGAAGAACTCGGAGCGCAGCCTCTTTTGGATTTCATAAAGCAAGTAAGTAGCATTTTACGTTCCTATCAGGAAGACATAATCCTTATCATCGGACATATTCATTTTAGAAAAATGTTTCACAATGGAACAGTATTATTCTCTTTTAATAAAAGCCTCACAAGAATTGCTTCGAAAAGCATAACGTGTTTATTACACGCACAGCACATTTTGCCTTTATTAAATGTTCAAGAGCATAGCCTGAGGAGATAAGCCGTATAATGCAAAATGATATATTTTACTTCATACTAAAACCACAAGAGGATTTCATTAAAAACAGAATGTGTTACACAAAACAGCAGTCTTGGTTCACATTTCAATCTCGTGAGGATTGCCTAGGAAAACAAGACGTACAAAATGAAACGTCACCTTTTTTCTCTCATTGACGCCTCACGAGAATTGCCATGTCAAATAAGAGTTATTACACAGAATGACACATTTCGGTTGACATTATAGCCTCATGGAAATTTACTAGGAAAACAAGGTATCTTACCCCAAACAGAACCTTTTGCCATTTATATTTTATATTTCTAAAAAATAAGATGCATTACAATGGAACAGCATCTTTTTGTTGATATCAATATCTCAAGACGATATTCTGAAGGAAAAAGGTGTATATAGCATACAATAGCACGTTAAAAAACACATAGTGATTCTTGCCTCTTGTTAAAACTATGTGAGGGTTGCCTGGAAAAAAGATACTATTATAAAAGAAAAGGCGTCTTTGTTTTCCAGTCATTAAAAGTGCACGAGGATTATGCGGAAAACAAAAACACACGTTACCTTTCGGCTGAAATTAAAATACAACAAGGATTATCTTGATATACAAAACACATTACAAGGAACAATACTATTCATTAAAACCTCACTAGACATTCCCCCAAAACAAGAAGTGTTACATGGAATACTACCATTTAGGCTACATTAAACCCTCACAAGCAGTTTTTCCAAAAATGAGACGTATTACTTGGAACACTGCCCTTTAAGCTACATTAAGCCCTCACAAGGAATTTCTCCAAAAATAAGACGTATTACTTGGAACAGCATCCTTTAGGCTACATTAAACCCTCAAAAAGTGTTTCTCCAAAAAATAGGACATATTACTTAGAACACTAACTACCCTTCAGGCTACGTTAAACTCTCACAAAGAGTATCTCCAAAAATAAGACCTATGACTTGGAACACTACCCATTAGCTTACATTAAACCCTCACAAGGAATTTTTCTCCAAAACATAAGACATATTACTTGGAACAGCATACTTTAGAGTACATTAAATCCTCACAAGGCATTTCTCCAATTATAATACGTATTACTTGGAATACCACCCGTTAGGCTACATTAAACCTTTACAAAGAGTTTCTCCAAAAATAAGACGTATTACTTCGAACACAACTTTTTAGGTTACACTAAACCCTCGCAATGAGTTTCTTCAAAAATAAGACGTATTACATGAAATACTATCCTTTGCTTTTCATTAAAACCTCACGGCACTTGCATGACAGTCAAATCATATTACATGAAATATGATCATATGGCTAGCATTAAAAACTCATGAGGTTTTAATGGAGGAATAAGACATATAACGGGGAACACCTTATTTTATCTTACACTAGCTAGAGTACCCGTCCGATGGAAATAAAAACTCGTTTGTAACAAAGAATAGGAAATTCTGCTTCTCTTTTTTCTTTTTCCTTAACATAATAAACATTAAAAGTGCGGTAAACATTCATAAAGGTACCAGTAATGAAACGAAAGACATACTATTTTCACGAATTCTATCAATGTGAAGTTAGATGGGGGTCCAACCCCCTTATGACCTTCTTCATGTCATCCTGGATCACTGTGTCAAGTTGTGCTGATTTGGTATTTTTTTTCCAAAATTAGATGGGGGGTCCAAACCCCTCATGTCATCCTGTGTCACTGTGTCAAGTTTGGTGCTGGTTGATCAAGAAATATGGAAACCTGTAAGGTACAGATACACACACACACACACACACACATGTATTGACATTTATTTATATAGATTAAAACCTTGCTAAGCCAAGAAACAAGGTATGTTAAATAGAACATCAAGTGTTAGCTTACACTATGTCAGAATTTGAAATATAATTATTTTCGCCAATTGTCAAAATAAAAGGCTTTTACTTGTACTTCTTAATAGTATAAATATATACTGTGTTGTTGTTGGGCTTAGTATTTTTCTACAGTAGGTGTCTGGAACTTGTTGACGCTAAATGCAAAGATAAATAAACACAGCACACACTTCATTTGTTTTTAAAATAATATTGAAACAAGTTAAACGTATGTACAGCAAATTCTTTACGCTATAGAGATTGATTATAGGTATATCATAACCCCTACATATATAATTATCTTCTTCTTGTCAAAAGTCCACTTAGGCCTATTCAATTGCTTTGGAATTTCAGTTGACAAGCCCAGTTATATTCTCTATTACTATCGCACTAGTATTCTGTGTGTGTGTGATTCATTTATATTTGTGGCGCGAGCTACCGTAATCGTTTGGTCTTTTTTCTTCTAAATATCCTCTGTTCCTTTTGTCAAAGTGCACTCAGGTTGATTCAGTTACTTTAGAACCACGATTTGACGGAATAACTTATATTTCTTATCTCCTTTTCTACTGTTAGTATTACTCTTACCTATTAAGGCCTATGTCAATCGTTAGGCCTGTCACTTCTACGGTTGTTAACCTCACGCCGAACTTTTCCTTGCGTTATTCTACTATTGTCTTTCTGTTGTTCCCGCTCGTCTCACACTATTTATCACTTAATCGCCTGCCCGCCTTCAAGAAATCTCTATTCTCGACGCCAATGTATTGCACGCTACGTTCGATAGTATCGACATCAATGACTTATAAATACAACTTCCTATAATCGTTTGCTTTTAACTCTTATTATAAAAAAAACTAAACAATAATAAAATATTCACTCGCAAAAATAAATTAATCAATAAT